ATAGAAACCCGTATCTTTATTAGTATTGTGTCACACATCTTAGAGTAAAAATCCACAGCGGACAGGCTTATAAATATACATTTATATATAATCTCAAAATCAATCACGATTGAACATTAGGTACACAACTTTTTATAAAACAAATATAACCCATCATTGTCTATTTAAAGGCAGAGTTTTTAACAAAATAGCATTTTGTAGACAGTCTCAAAAAAACTGTATTAGTACTTCTGGAGCCAGATTGTTCCAGCATGTCAATGTGTCAGTGGAAATAAGGCATGTGGAGAAGCTGTGTTCACTCTTCCGGGGTGCAGGGGTCAGGGCATTCTAGGCGATGAAGCAGGAAAGAGTCTAGTGACCTGGGTGAATGCCACACCCACTGAGTACCCAGTAACCTTAGAGCATGATCACATTCCAGAAGAATCAGACTGAGTGGTTACTCACCTAATAGCAAATATTTGGGAGAAAACTGAAAATATTACCCAATCATTGGTGTATTCTTAAATGGAACACACTGCCAAGGCTAGGAGATTTACATACATTTTTTCCTTGTCAGCATATTTAGGCTCATATTTCCTTAACTAGTATTTTCTTGAAAAGGAAATTATATGCAAGCCATCTGTTAACTAAAAACACAAGGAAATCCAACTTGAAACTACACAAATTGCTCACTGAAGAATAGAATAAGAAAACTAATGCAACTTAAAACATGTCTAGGCTGCCATGTAACATGTCAGTTACTCAATTACATATGAGTCTTGGCTTCTTAATGGTATAGAAAAGTTAAACAACAATGCATATACATTCTTGAAAATTCATATAATGTTGGGTAGAGGAGGTTACACTTAATAAAAGATCCAAGAATCTTTTCTACGAACTAAATTACTAAGAATTCAAGGGTAAGTATGCCTATAACACACACAATGTTTTATCTCTGAGTTTTAAAGTATATATAAGAGGTAAGAAAAAGAACCAATCTTAACAATAACCTTCAATGCTCAGCATGTGCGTGCATATTTATGTATACATATACCCCATCTGTCACATATGCACAAAGTGTATGTACATATAAACACACTGAAAATAACCAACTGTTCACTGAGTATGCAGTTGCTTAGAGAGTAAAGATGTACAATAATGAACTCTAGTCACCTCAGAGTATGGCCTATATGCTGGCTCTCACACACTGTTTCATTATATGAGACAGATGTGTCACATGTATAAAACACCCTCATGCCCTTATAATAATTTTTAAAATTTCTATAGAGAAATAAATTACTCTAAAGCATAGAAATATTCACCAAAAGAGCATCTCGATGGTGAAACATGTTCATGACTGCCACACCTTAGGCAAAACAAAGCTCTAACTTACCAAGATTGGTTCTTTATTGCTCCCTCTTTTGTGCCAACTCCAGGAAACATATTAGAACATAAATGTGTAAGGATGCCACTATACCATTCATTTACAACAGCAAACCAACTATAAATCATGTTTAAACAAATTATTCACTAACTGATATTTTTACAACTAGCTAATAATAAGTTACTGGTGATATGATTTACAACAGACTAGATAGATTGTATGCCCATGACTAAAGCCACTGTGGGAACGCCAGAGTCTACAAGCCCAGCCCACCCTACTTCCTGATTTTGTTCAGCCTGCAAACTAAGAATGAGTTTTTCATTTTCTAAAAGCTTTTTAAAGCTCAACATAACATTTTGGCATCTGCAAATTGTATGGAATTCAAATTTCAGTTGTTTTATTAGTGTGTAGCCATGCCTTTTCATTTATGAACTGTGGCAGAGTGGAGCATCTGGGACAGAAATACAGTGTTAGAAATGTTTACACCCTGGCCTTTACAAGGAAATTTAAAGAAATCCTAGGATAGAGAGAGCAAAGCATGGCATTCAGCTTCAGTTCCTGGGATAGAGCTAAACTTGGCATTCAAGTTCAGTGCTGATATCACTTAAGACAGAATCCTGAATACAGACAGCAAACTTGGATTGTAAAAATCGTAAGAATGTACTGCAGTGGAAAGCCATCCCTCAGTTGTCTGGTTTCGTTAAGGACAAAAACCATCCCAAAGTAACTGAATGAAGCTTCTGGATTCTGTCTGAATGCATGTTTACTATAGTGGGACAATAAAAGCACGTGGAGTTCCATGTTGTAAGACAGACAGTGGTTTAAGAAAATCATGTTTAAAAGTTACTTAAGACAAATTCATTCTTCCAATCGTGTCCAATTGACACATTAGCTTTAAAAACATTAATAGCAGTAAAAATGTGCATGAACTGGGGGTGGAATTGGGTGGTGGAACACCTCAATATCGAGTACAAGGCCTTGGGTGTGACCATCACTACTGCAAAACAAAACAGAAAGGAAGGAAGGAAGGAAGGAAGGAAGGAAGGAAGGAAGGAAGGAAGGAAGGAAAAGAAAAGGAAAGAAAAGAAAAGAAAAGAAGGGATGGAGGAGGGAAGGAAGAAAGAAAAAGAAAAAAGTACTGAAATGACTGGTAAAAGTAATAAAAAAAGGGGGGGGGCTGGGGATACAAAACAAATGTGTTTGGTTCCTCAAATACAGCTGTAAGATGTCCTCACAATCACTGTAAAGTACTAGGGGGCAGGTGAAGGCTCCTAGCTGATTTGAATATGAATAGCAGGTTCTTTTAATGGGAGCTTTAAAGACTTTGCATGAGGTATAAGAAGTCCTATGGACTTCCTCTGCCCCTGCTGCCTCTTGAATGACAAGTGCATTGAACTAGCATCTTTAAGGCCTTGCCTGCACTGATAAGTTTGCCAAAAGATGGACCTCAGTATTTCCTTCTGTAAAGCTGGATTAATAATAGATACTTCCTCTGGTCATTGGATAGGGAGAGCTAATCCACACGAAGCACTTAAAACAGCACTACATAGGCTTTTCTGCCACTCACATTTTATTGACTTGGGCATTTACCAAAAAGTGTTGATAGGCTTCTCCCTCAGGATAAACACTGTATTAGAAAAGAAAACTGTATTGTCAGACCTGGTGGTTCACGCTTGAGCTAGCATAACCAAGAGTCTGGAGGCTGAAAAAGGAGGGTTAAGAGGCCTTGTTGAAAGACAGAGAATGAATAGAGAGGTAAAAGTAGAAGTCCCTTATTAGGTTAGATTAGAATGGATGAATTCCAAGTCCATAGGGCTTTAACTTCAACATGTCTATCAGTGGATTGTTTTCTGAAATGAAGGTCAGCTGCTGTGATGCATCCCTTGTCCGTAAATCCTTATTTCAGGACAGCAATACTGTTTAAAGTGCCAACTGATGTCCACTGAAAGGCAAAACCATGCTGTCTGTCACTAAGGTCCTGTCATCTATGTTTTGGAAGACCTGGTTTGATCACGAGTAGGATATATAAAAACACTGGTTAGCCAGGTAAAATATATAAAAGAGATTCCTCTGGCCCAAGTAAACTAGAAGCATCAAGACAGTTCTGTAACTCAATCCATCAGGTGGCTGAGTACCTACTAAGAAGTAGCATCAGTTACAAGGATGAGTAGAAAGAAATGGCTCCTGACGAGGGGGTTAGCAGTCAGGAAAAAGCCAGAAATGTCAGTAAATTCTGACATGTATTATGAAGAAGCCCCAGTAGGCTACAGGAGTGCTGAGTCAGGCCTAAAACTCTATAGTTCAGAAGACTGGAGGAAGAGATAACTAAGCTAGTGTCTCACAGACGAGCTCATCATCCACAGGAGGGAAGACTGGACAGGTGAGAGAGAGGAGAACTCAAGGCCCTTCAGACTGGCTGGAACAGGCAGTGGCCCTGAGGAGGCAGAAGACACTGGTGCTTAGTAGAGTTGCTGGCATGTTACTTACTGTAAAGGCAAGGATAACTCTGAAAGTTCCAAGCAGAAATACACAAAGCTGGCCACTAAAGACTACGAAACAGTTAACTTAATTTGAAACATAAGTGGAAGGGAAACGCCACTCGCTCCTACGATTGACTAGCCTTTATTTATAGATCAACTACTATACACATAAAGGATATAAAAAATATTGGGTTTCTTATTTATAACATGGGTGTCTCTATATACTCCTAAACCAACTACTAATGCTGAGAAGCTGATATACATGCCCTGCTTTTGCCAAGCTTGACCAGGATCAGAGGGCTTAGTGAAGAGGCAACTGTAGTCAGGTGGAGACATCAGTTTGAACCTTGAGTTTGAAACTGGGTATGAGCAGTGTCACAAAGTAGCTTTGTGGTTCCAGTTCAGAAGAATCTGAACATTCTCCCCACAGGCAGATGTTCACTTCTGACATTACTCTTGGGGATGGGTTTAGAAACTACAGTCTGGTGTTGCTCAACTATAAAGTTGGAGCTAGCTTGGAAGCAATGGGGACATAATCAGAGAATTCTGGAATGCCATGGTGTAAGTGCCCACAGCTACTCTCCTCTAGTAATAGGGATTTGAACTAAAAGAGAATCTGGCTCAGCTGGGCGTTGGTGGCATACACCTTTAGTCCCTTGAGAGGCAGAGGCAGGTGGATCTCTGTGAGTTGAGGCCATCCTGGTCTACAGAGCGAATTCCAGGACAGGATCCAAAGCAATACAGAGAAACCCTATGTCAAAAAAAAAAAAAAAAAAAAAAAAAAAAAAAGGAGAAGAAGAGGAGGAAGAGTATGCTGGCTCTTTTGAAAAAAGGAAAACACAGAATTGAACATTTTTAATATATACTCCTGGTGAATTTATCTTAGGGCCCCTCCTCCCCATTTTGGCTCCTGATGTCTACAGTATTTAAAAATGTTGGTGTATCTTTTCCTTAAGATGATTTGTCTTTCATAATGCATATCATATTATTCTTATTGTATGCTGACTTGGCAAACACCATTGGCAGAGCCGTCCATGAACACCTTAGTTGGTAGAACACAGTAGCAGAAGAGAGCAAATTCTAACTACTAAGAATTCAACTATTTTTATCATTTAACAACTTCAGAAATATTCACAGTTCTATTTTTCATATTTCCTAACAGCAATATTTTTTTAAAAAAACTATTTCCTCATAACTACTTGCTAATTGAGAAGATACTTTAGATTAACACAAACCACTTGCTTACCACTATAGTCTCTTCCATACTCCCCATCACCTGTGTGACTATCTAAAAGCATTTAGGCTCCACAGAAATGTGGCTCTCAAGAGGCTGATGATGCACTTGTGACATCCTGTAAAGTTCTTCACGGCAACATGCAAAGTAACCTTCCAGAACTACTCAAAATAAAGATAGCTTTCCACATCTCGCTCTTTCTTTACTTATGTGTTATCTGATCATGTTAGCCAAGGATGTGAGACATGTAGGCCAAAAGGCAGCCTTTGTCTAGGTTTAGATCCCAAACGGTATCATGACTCTCTCAGTTTTACCAAGCCAATGCACAGATATTGTAAAGCTCAAATAGAAAACATCTGAAGCGTTTGCAAACGTTTTAAGTACTTCCCGAAAGCAAGGTTGCCTTGACAATCCTGTTTGACTAGGAGAAAAGCTTGTTCTTTTTTTCCCCAAAAAAAATGTGAAATCATGACTTGTTTTTAAATAATAGAAGCTAAAATGATACAGGCGATTATTGAAAAATAGATACCAAAGGCTTTCCACTCCATCTAGTCTGTTGGCCTTGCAGCTGTGGCTAAGGGGTTCCCATCAGCAAGTAGAAGGTCAGGGCGACAATGAGAAGCAAACAAAACGGAGAGGAGAAGGTCTGGTAGGCAGCCGATGGCATGAAGATGTCTTCGTACTTGTAAATACTGACTACTCGCTCTGAAGTGGGTGGGGAGTCTATGTCGTGTCGGGTGATGGAGCCTTTAACACAGAAGCAGAGGGAGGGCCGATCAAAAGCAGCACAGAGTTACAGACAGAAGAAGCACAACAGACAGGTCTTCACTGCTGAACACATACACAGTGCTTAAGGCGTGGAGTCGGGTGCTGGAGCCATCAGCAGGGCCTTACTCCCAAAGACGGCTCTCATGAATCTGCGGTCATTCCCCTCCCAAATCAGAACAACTTACTGCTCTCTCTGTCCTATGGCTGCCAGTTTTAATGTTTATATTTGCACATACTGCATGGATTTCTATTTGCCTTGAATAAATTTAAACTCCTCAATATCAAATAGTGTAAAACTTTTTAAATTTTTAAAAGATTAATTTTATTATTATTATTTAATGTGTTTGTTTTTCTTCAAGACAGGGTTTCTCTGTGTAGCTTTGCTTTGTCCTGGAACTAGCTCTTGTAGACCAGGCTGGTCTCAAACTCACTCCCTAGTGCTGGGATTAAAGGCATATGCCACCACTGCCTGGCTTGATTTTATTTTTAATTGTGTGCCTGTGCAGAGGCAAAAACATCTCCTGGTCCTGGAGATGAAGTTACAGGTTGTTTTAAATCACCTGATATGAGTATTAGGAACTGAGCTTGTGTCCTCTACAAGAACAGTGTGTGATCTTAACCACAGAATAATCTCTTCAGCCTGGGGGTGGGGAGGGACGACACGGACTATATTAATATGAATAGTAAATGTTACTAATTTTTCCTCCTCAAATCTTTGGGTGAGTAGTGGCCCAGGGTTTCATGCATACTACGCAAATGCTCTATCACTGAGCTAACTCCATAGCCCCAAATCTTGTAGACATGGGTCAGAAACTCTAGTCCAGACCAAAGTCTCCCATACAAGCAGAAACCTTCTTTCATTGACTGTGGGCTATTAAGAGTTAGTTAGCCTTTGGCTGGGAAAATGGCTCAGTAGCTAAGAGTCCTTATTCTGCAAGCATGAGGCTCTAAATTTGAGCCCTGAACAGCCATGTATAAAGCCAGGCATGGCTGTATGTGAGCACTGGGGAACAAAGGTCTATGTCTATACCTGAGCACAGGCAGGGTGGCCAGCAGGCCAGCATAGCCCAAAAGGCTGGTTTCCAGTTCAGTGAGGCTCCATCTCAAGAAATAAGGCAAGCCTGGCACTTTAATCCCAGCATTTGAGAGGTAGGTGGATCATAGTGAGTTCCAGGATACCTAGAACTATGTAGAGAGACCCTGTCTTTAAAAAAAAAAAAAAAAGCCAGGTGGTGGTGGGCACGCCTTTAGCTCCAGCACTTGGGAGGCAGAGGCAAGCAGATCTCTATGAGTTCGAGAACTAGTTTACAAGAGCTAATTCCAGGACAGCCTTCAAATCTACACAGGGAAACCCTGTCTCCAAAAACAAACAAACAACAAAACAAAAACACAGAGTAATAAAAGAAGACTGTCAATATCTTATGCTGACCTCTAATCACACATCTAAACACCCACATGAATGTACCACAGGGGTAGGGAGAAGAAGAAAGAAGAAAGGAGAAAAAGAAGAGAATTGGAAAGGAAAGGGTATGGTAGGGGAGGGGAGGGGAAGGGAGGGGAGGAGAGGAGAGACACTTTCCTAGCCAAAAGAGATTGGCATGGTGACTCTCCAGAAGAGTGGGGGGGAAAGTTTGGAAAGGAGAATGACTAAGGTAACAAGTCCTTGGATGGCGCTTTACTCCACATGGCCACCAGAAAAAGGGAGAAAGTCCTGTGTGTAGACTGCCTAAGGGCCGATGACAAGATCAGCAGCAGGCAGTGTGCCTCCATTCCAGGACCTCTGGTTTAATCCTCAGCACTGAAGAATAAAATGATAAAAAGAAATAGAAATAAGCCATTGTTTTTCAAACTATGTGCTATGGTGCACATCTATAGTTGGGGCTTCCAGCAAAATTAAGGTAAGAGAGCTGCTTGAACCAAGAGTTTTCCTTTTTTGTTTTTTCAAGGCAGAATTTTTCTATGTAGCCCTGGCTGTCCTAGAACTCACTATGTAGACCAGGCTAGCCTTGAACTCATACAGATCCACTTGCCTCTGCCTCCTAAAAGCTGGGATTAAAGATTATCACCACCATGCCCAATGAGTTTTCTTATTCTTAAAAAGAAAAAAAAATTAAAAATGCTTAATGAGGTAAAGGCTTGTCTGACTACCTGGGGAGAAAAATACTAAAGCTGGGTTAGGGAAACTGAGGCATGATAGTTCAATGCAAAGGCTGCCCTAGGACTGGAGCTCAGTTAGGGTTTTAGGAGTGTTTGCTTTTGTAGTATAGCACTAGGTCCATAAACATTCTAGCCATGTATCTACCACTGAGCTATAGCCCCCACTTGCCAACTTTCTTTGATTTTCCCTTTTTACTTTGAGATAGGGTCTCAATAAACTTGCCAGGCTGGCCGTGAACTTACCCTGTAGCCCAAACAAGCCTTGAACTTGTGGTCTTTCTGCCTTGGCCTCCAGAGTAGATGAAATTACAGGCCTGTTATCACCAGGCCTGGCTTGCACTGAGTGGGCTGTTACAGTCTTTCTCTTAGGAAGTTGTGCCAGACACAGCACAGTGAGCATCTGCTCCAGCTCCTGCCTGCTACCCAAAGGCTCCCAGTTGGTAAGGGGTATCTGCCCTCTCCCAGGTTCCTGCTCACTCTGTACCTACCAACACCTTACTCAATGATCCTTGCCTGGCTGCTTGGACTATGCCACACACCTCCAGTTCATGGCTCTCTTGAGGGAAATAGAATCTCTAGTCCTTCAAACCTTAGTCCAAAGTTTATGCTAAGAGGCAGGAATAGGACCGACAGATGGTAAAGGGGACAAGCACAGCATGGCCAGCACTTGGAGTGGGGTGGGGGTGGGGGTCTGTTTTGCCTGACAACAAAGAGAAGAGAAGCCTGGAGGAGCTTATCAGGTGAAGCCAGATGGATGTGGAACCCTCCACATCTCAGAAGACAACTTTTTTGAATACATGAGAGTCCCCATGATTCCAATGACCACAGTCACCTGCAGTTCAAAGATAACATATGGGCTAGCAAGGTATTTTGAAAAAATGCAAAGGATTGCATTTTATATGACTTCAATATGACCGTGTACTGTTATGGCTGTCTTATTAGTATATTATTATCACTGCAATATTATTAGCATCACTGTAAATCTAATACCGAATTCTAATGCATACATTATGTATAGGGGTGATATGGAGTTTCAGGTAGATGCTGGAAATCCCAGTAAATATCTCCAACAGATGAAATGGGATTACTGTACAGCATTTTTTCAATTTGCCAAAGCAATTCCACATAATTATTTTCACCCACTACCTTATGAAATAGATATTATTATTGTCCCCACTTTATAAGGAAATGAAGTTCAGATTTTAGATGACAGGATACATAGCTACCAAGGGGCAAAACCGGCTCTAAAAGCTCACATTTCCAGATACTGATCTCATCGTTTGAAATGAATTCATCCCTCCAAGCTAAAATACCATTTATTTCCTAGGATACTAAAAGGACTTGAAGGTACCATTGCAGATCCAGGAGGGTTACCCTGGGAAATCAGCCAATGGAAAGGGACCACCAACCTGGAGGCATCCAAATCTTTTTCCCAATAGGCAAGGGGTGAGAAGGGGAAGAGAAGGAGAAGGGGAGGGGGATTGTGTACTCTCTAAAGCAATGGAAACAAATTCAGAGGGTGGGGTGTAGGTTAGCTGAAGCAGCAAAAAGCTGCTGAACGCGGAGTAAAAACAGATATCAGGCTGGCTGCAGTGGTATACACCCATAACCGTAGCCACTTGGGAGGCTCGAGTGGGAGGACTGCTCTAGCCTGAGCAACATAGTAGACACCCAGCTCAAAGAAAAAGAAAAAGCTGGAGGAAAGGTAAAATTCCTATTAGCCAGAGTGAGAGACTTTAAACCAAACTTACTCCACTCTTGGTCAGAGCACTAGGCCCATTGACCATGCAGAAGGCTCAGAAGATGACTTGATTTGGGCAACCTCTATAAGGTATCTTTTAATGCCCTTACGTTTTTGATAGGAAACTACTGGAGAGGTCTGCCACAGGGAGTAACATCATCCACAGTCCAGCATCATCAGGGAACTTGTTAGAAATGTGGAATCTTTGGTCTCTTTACTAACATAGCTTGGGGATTATTATGCACCTTAATATTTGAGGATTAATGGGCTAAAATATAGGGTATTTAGATTGTTTTGTGGCCATGGGAATAGTCATAAAGAATTAATACTTGTTGTCAAGCTCAAGAGAAATCTCTACAGACCCTTTCCTCTTCAGTATTTCCTTATTAAAAATGATGATGGTTAAAAGAGTTCACTGACTTTAGATCTGAAAGACTAAGAATTGAGTTTTATTTCTACCATTAATTAGTTGTCTACCATGAGCAAGTTTCTTGTTCTCTGTAAACACGAGGGTAATGATATCCAGACCACTGCAGGAAGGGGTAAGGAACAAATACGAACACCTGCACTCCATAGCAGACATGTGATTGCTTCATGAAATGCGCAATCATCGTATGTTGTCTCACATGTTCTACCTATGCATGTGTGCACTGTGTCGAGTGTCCCCCTGCATTGTAAGGTCTTTAGAACCTTCTGGAGGAAGGATTCACATCTCCTTTTACTTGCAGACTTGTGACTCTCATACACATGCAGTGAGACTCCACTTAACAACGAATATGAGCACAGTGGTGACGGGTGTTTAATGCAGAGGCTAAAATGTAGACTTACCCTGAATGGCTGGACCCCAAGCAAACAGGTAATACCAACTCAAGTGCAGGTCCACAATCGTTTCATCTCTGGGAACATTCACAGGCCGCTTAAACCTGCAGGTGACACGATTATTCTCAAAAACTCCTTCTTCGTCTCTGGCAGGGTTTCTCTGAACCTCCTTTGCCCACTGTCCCACATTGTAGAAGTGCTGTATACGAACTCTGCCATTGTCATCATGGACACAGGCCATGACATCATCACCACCCTAGCAGAGAAGAAAAAAGATAAATGTTTGTCTCCAGTCACAATGTTTCACTCAAAAATATATATCCCATAGCCTCTGTAACGATAAATATCATAAAAATTACTTTAAATACCATTAAAAGCCCTTCAACCAAGCCAGTGAGATGGCCCAGCCAGTAAAGGCAAGGTGCTTGCCAACAAGCAGAGCAACCAGAGTTCGATCCCTGGAACCCATCTGGTGGAAGGAAAGGACCAGCTCATCCCGCAAGTTGTCCTCTGATCTCCACAAGTGCACCATAGCATGCATACCTTCCTCACAAACAACTAAACACATGAAACTTTTCAGATCCTTTTTAAAAAGTCAGCATCACTGTGACTGACGTTTGGTGCCTTCCTACAGGGACAGTTGGAGGACCATTCTGCATAAAACCACATAAAGTAGCCTGATGAGCACAGCCAGGCAAGTCCATCTTGAAACTCATTCTAACAAAACAAAACTTCAGTTACGGCAATGTTCCTAAAGTAATTAGCTAATCTATGCATTAATTTAAAAGGCCCAGAAGCTATTACAAAGTGAAGAAGACTGAAGTCACATGACCACTAAATGCAACATTTCTAGACAGAACTGTGCTGATTAATGACATTTGGAAACAATATATTTGACAATAATATCCTACGGATCTCAAAGTCTAAATTTAAAAAGTAGACCATATAATGAAAGATAAGATCCTTGATTTTAAGAGAAACCTCCTAAATATTTAGGGTTAAAAGGTCATGATATCTGTGATACAGCCTTGAAGTTTCTAGAAAATATTAGTCATAAGTAGTTAATCGCCAGCAGGAACAGCATTGGTAAAGAACAACACAGAGACAAAAAAAAAAAAAAAAAAAAAAAAAAAAAAAAAAAAAAGTCACTTGAGAGAATGTTCTGGAATGAGAAAATGGTGGTGACTTCACAGCAGTGATTGTGATTGAAGCCATTGAGTTATACACTGGAAAATGGGCAAAAATGATACATTTTAGGTGCACATTACTATAATGAAAAAGCTACCCATGGGTGCATCTGGTATAAGATGTGGGGCAAGAGACAGGAGTTTGGGGAACAATCTCTACAGCCTGCCTGGAGATTTAATTTTTTTTTTAGAACAAGTTAAAAACATTAAAGACTGGCTGATTGTACTGTTTTGTGGGGGCTATGAATCATGGGAGAGAAAATGGCTGGAGCCTGTGAGGCATGTCATAGATAGGAACCCAAAGTTGCTGTTAAAAAATTAAATCTAATTTGAAAACCATTCCATAAAAATTCAAGGTTATTAAAAAGGGAATCCACATTGCTCTTAGTATACATCACATCGCCGACTTTTTGTTTTTTAATTTAATCCATGCTTCGGTGGAGAGAGGAGAGAGGAAAGGAGGGGCCTCTACTTTATAGATACTACAGTGATATTTGAAAGGCTCCCTAGTCTGCCTCAGTTATCTGAGCCCTACATCAGCCCACTCTTTCCTTCCTTCCTCTCTCACTCCCTCCCTTCCTCATTTTCAGACAGGGCCTCGCTATGCAGTCTCACTATGGTCTTGAACTCATGTTCTTTTTTTTCTTCATTTATCTGTTTTTGCCTTTATCAGGAAACCCCTTTATTGGGTTGATTGACAGGCCAGGGCCTGAGGTCTGCTTGTAGCACCCCTCAGCACAGCCCCACACCCTGGCCACTGGAAGAATTGCAGGTTAATCTCAGGGGCTGCTCTTTCTTTGGACCCTACAACTGCTCCACACCACAGGAGGAAAAATCCCAAAGTGAATCCATGACAGGGAGAGTAAGAGAAACCCCGGGGCTCCTGTGAAGTCACTGCACATCCTGAGGTGGTACCAGTTAGGGACTTCAGCCTTTGCTTCCCAGGTGTTCATGAAAAAGTAGTCCTCCATCATGTACATTGTGGGCAGCTTTTATGTCAGGGGTGCTGGTGACACTGGCTTAGAGTCAGGGGGCTAGTCTGTTATCATTATAACTGTGTGTGTGTTATGCCAGGTGCATGCAGGTACCCATGGAGGCCAGAAGGAGCATCTAATCCCCTGGGGCCAGACTTAAAGAAGGTCATCAGTCACCTGACATGGGTGCAGGGAACCAAATTCAGGTCCTTTGGAAGAGCAGCAAGCACTGTGAACCACTGAGCAATTTCTCCATCCCCAAGTGATGTTTTCAGAACACCCTGGAACTGAGCCCTCCTTATTATGGCCACTGCTGCTGCACAAAAGAAGGCTTGGGGACATGACACAGTTGGTAAAAAGGTTGCCTTGCAATCATGAGAACCTGAGTTTGGAGTCCCATAACCCATGTAAAAAGCCAGGTGTGTTTGAGTATGTCTGTAATCCCAGCGTGATGAGATGGACACTGACAGGTAGATCCTTGAAGCTCACTGGCCAGCCAGCCCACTCTACCTGCTGAAGCTCCGGGCCACTGAGAGGCCAGCTCAGATGAAAGGGGACAGTGTCTGAGCAAAGACACCCAAGGCTGCCCTTGACCAACACATTCAAGTGAACATAAATGCACACCACATTCACACGTACATGTACAACTACACACAGGCACAGACACACACACACACACACACACACACACACACAGAGAGAGAGAGAGAGAGAGAGAGAGAGAGAGAGAGAGAGAGAGAGAGAGAGAGAGAGAGAGAGAGAGAGATTGTATGATTTTCCTGACTGTTAATTACTGAGAGGAGCTTGTCAGGGGATACACCCTACATAGGCATGGAAGCTCATCCCTAACTCCTCCCAACCCCCACACCACATCCTTCACTATCTCTTGCATTTGGCTGTTCATTTACTTTTTTTTTAAACATCCTATACTATAAATAGGTGCTGGAATTGGCATCTCAAATGTCTCCCAAGGCCTTTGTGTTAAAGGTTGCTCCCAGTCTATGGCACTTTTGGAGAAGAGTGGGAAATCTAAGGGATGGGGCCTAGTGGAAGTAAGTTAGATAGTTAGTTGGTGGTATGCTCCTAGAAACAGATATTGGGACTCTGGTCCCTACCCACCTCAAGCTTAGATTTCTTTTCCCATAGACTTCCTATCACAACCCACTATCTTAGTACTGGCCTGAAGCAATGGGGTCAAGTGACCATGGATGGAAACCTCTGAAATCAGAATGGAATAAACCTTGGTGTTGTTGCTGTTGAGGATCCATCTGTTTACCTGTTTGTTTTTGCTTATTTATTCACTTGGTGGCCATGTTGGGGATGGAACCCAGGGCTGTGTGCATACTAAGCTAAGCAAGTTCTCCAATGCTGAGCTATATCCTCTGCCTTTAGCCTTTTGAAAATGAGTTAGTAGCAATTCAAATCTAATTAACACAATGGGCAAATGCAAAAAAAAAAAAAAAAAAAGTGTACACCTGAGTTCTGCACATTAACAAACTCAAGAGGAAGTCGCAGGGACTCTGCTGACTCATCAGATCACAACCTGGGACTGGAAGTTGGCATCTACAATGGAGCAGTCTTGAACTAAACCCTCACTTTATGACATGTGACACTCTCCCCACAGAGATTGTGTCAGAACCCACTGAGGTAGAGGACACCCAGCTTGTGTCCATTGGAGACTTGCCTGGTGCGTGCGTGCATGAGGGAGAGGGAGAGAGAGGTGGGTAGAGGAGAGAGAGAACTATCTGGTCACAGAATGTTCTGTGTTGAGTGTGTCAGCATAAAGGAAAAGCACTCTGACTCTTACAACGGCTGTTCACTGCTACCTCTGCTATGAGGGGAACAGGCCTTGTAGCTGCCCCTTCTAGACTGACTAAAGCACACACAGGAAATCAAACCCAACCCAGGGACTACAGCCAAGCCCAGCTGAGCTGCTGAACCCCAGCCAACCCACACACATGTGAGCAAGAGACATACAACAATTAGTACAAGACATGTAGTCTACAGCATGTGGACAGAGCTGATCACTATGTGAAGCACAAGATACTCTGTATTCTAATAACCAGTCTTTCCACTAAAGCTTGCTTGAATTAAAAAAAAAAAATTACTTACTTTACTTATGTGTATACTTGCGTGTGGTGTGCTTGGGTGAGTTTATATGGCATATGCTTTATGTGTATTGTATGCAGGTGCCCACAGAGGCCAGAGGGAACCAGATCCCCTGCAACTGGATAACAAGTTGATGTAGGTGCTGGGAACTGAACCCCAGTCTTCTGCAGGAGCAGTATGTGCTCTTATCTACCATTAGAGAGCTGTGACTAACCTAATGCCTCTACTTCTTTGATTAATTCGTCTGCTTCCAAAATCTAAACAACAAAGCAAAGAGAAAAAGCAGCTTCTATCATGATTTGTGTCTTACCATCTTTTTGTCTGAAGAGAATCCAACTGCCACCCAACCATCCGTGTCTGCACTCAGCTCGAACTCCACATCAGCCCCTATCATCCGGTAGCTAAGGAAGTAGTCACAGGTCTCTGCATTACAGCCCGGCTTGCCGTATCTGGAGGATACGCCAAAAGAGACATTATTGCTTCTATGTAACTCAAATAAGAAAAGAATGCCTACTGTGCAACCCAAGGACACTAAATATTGCTATTGACTACATTAGATTGGTGTTCCCCAGGATCTCAGAAAGGAGGGACCATGGATGGGAACCGCTCCACTTTGTATGTAAACTGAAGTCCAGAACCAGGTTGCATAATAAGGTCAGTGCCTGCAACAGGTCTTCAACTGGGTCTGTTCTTCAAGGTAAAAATTTATCTGTTTTTTCTTAATTAAAATGTATAACAACTATTTTTTTCCTTATAACTCTTCATAGTTAAAATGTCATAGGTTTAGAAATAAAAACAGAAACCCTGAAATTCACAGCATTTGTGTGATGATAAATGTTATAGCTTTTCTGGAAGCCCTATTCTGCAGTGGTGAGGTGGTGTGTCTGATTACACCAGTAGGGTCTTTCAAGTTGAGCGCATCCTTATTATTGACGTGGAGTGATGGCCCAACTTCTGCAATTTAATCTCTGTTGGTCTGTTGCAAAAGCCACATTTGTACAAATGCATCATGTGAAAACCTCATCTGATATCCTCTGAGCACAAGTACGTGATTCATTTATAAAATTTACTTGGTGTAAATATAATGACAAAGGAAGACACAACAACATAACAGTTTAAGGTCTTTGTCTCCATAGGAAGATTATGCACATATTCATCTTTTAAAAGAGAACCTCCAAGCAGAAAAGAGAAATTTCTTACAGAGGAACAAATGAGGTTGCTCTGTAGATAAGAACACCTGCCACCAAGCATGGTGACCTGAGTTTGCTCCCTGGAACTCACGTGCTAGAAGAGAAAAGACTCCAGCAAGTTGTCTTGTAACCTCTACGAGAGTGCCATGGCATGAGTATGTACACTGACATGTGCAAATGTACATATGTGCATATGCATACATATAAAGGCATGAGCACAAAATTAAATTAAAATATAACAACAACAAAGCCTACAGATGACTTCTGGATCCTTTACTGATTTGAAACCCCTATGTTAAGGAACACTTTATTCCACTGTTGTCAGGTTGGTATGCAACGTAGCAGTGGGGTGTGTCTCACTAGTAAAGTATGTGTTTGTAATGTACATGATCCTAGGTATGAGAAAGAATGGGAAAGGAAGGGGAGGAAGAGGAAGGGGAAAAAAAGAAAGGCAAGATAAGGAAACCCTATCAGTGGGCGGGGCGGGGGGGGGGGATAAGAGCATAGACGGCAGGTGTCGGTAAGAATGAGACCCGGGGTGCTAACGTGTGAGTGAGGAAGGAGACAAGGACATGCTATCGCATTAGCAGGGATGCCCTGGAACTAGGGTGAAACAAAGGAAAGCATGGGGTAGGGTAAAAAGAGCAGAGATGGGGGGGGGCAGGAGGAGGGGAGGGAGTGGGAACTGAGATTGGTACATAAAATGAGAAAAGATTGTTTTAAAAAATGATTAACAAAAAGAGCAGAGGAATCTGGAAGATAAGCCACTCTAAGCCAGTAGGCTATTAAAATCCCTTCTTTTCTCAATATATCTTATTATCACCAGAATGAAACCGTGCTGACCAGTTCGCTCAATGGTAACAGTGTTGGAATGTTTTAAAAGTCTTTGGAAAAGACTTGTAAGCCATTAAATATTGAGGCCCCCGTAGTCAATCCTTGGGTCCTTAAACCTTGAGCCCTGAAGAGTCAACAATATCAGCATCTTTAGTGACCTTTGTTAGTATTCAGGCATCTGTTTGGGCCTGTCCTTGGGGTTCTGACAGGATACACCCTCAGCTGCAGCCACCAAAAGCACCACCTGTGCATATTCACTATGTCCCCTTCTAAAAGAGCCCTGCCCACCTCCTCTTCTCTCTCTTGCTTTCTCTTCCCCCCTTCGTCTCTCTCCTCTGCCTCTCTCTTTCCCCCCTCTCTCTGCCTGTCTGACTCTTTTTCTCTTTCCCTCTCTCTTCTCTTCTGCTGCTCTTGTGCCCAGAGGACGGTCTCCCTTCTCCCCTCCCTCCTTTTCCCATTCACTTTTCCCCAATAAAAATCCCTCCACCCAAGCTCTGTCACATGGCTTTGCCTTTCTCTCATGCATCACTTTTTAAAAATTACAACACCATGTTCACCAAAACCCATATTTGGGAACTTTCTACCAAGCCAGTTCTCATTCACTCCTTCTCATTTTCTCCCTCACTCTGTCTTCTTTTCTTTGAGACAAATTTGTTTGTTTGTTTGTTTGTTCGTTTTTTCACTAAATTGGCCTGAAACCTGTGAGCCTTTTGCTGCAGCCATCTGAGTGGGAGAGTACAGGTGTCTGCCTGCCATCATGTTAATCTGGAACTCATCCTTGTCTTGATGGAAATGCTACCAGTAATCACATAGGGACCCACGAAAACAAATAAGCTACAACAATCAATGCTTAGCATCATGCAGAATTCACAAGTCATGACTATTTACTTTGAAGGGTCAAGGCCCTCACCCAGCCCCCTGCTTTGGCAGCCATGACAGGCTGCAGAAAAGATTCAGCAAGATGTAGACCCTTCACTCAGCAGCATGTGCTGAGCTGCAGACCTTGCCTGACCTTGCCCTAATCACTAGGAAGCAATTGACAGATACCCTCCATATACAAAGGAGCCAATCAGAAGTTATCTGGCGGGTTCTGGATGTGCTTTCCTGATGACAATAATGTAATGTAGAGTGTAGCAACTGCCCTGGGAGGGCCTCTAGGTACTGCAACCTTTCTGCAGCTGCAGCTAACCAATCAACTCAGGACAGGTTGCCCAAGCCCAGAAGTGCACCAATCCTGAGACTGTTGCTATGCAACTAGTGGACCCCCACCTCCAAGACACTTCCCTTGCTCTACCCCAATATATGCCCTGCCCCACTGCTGCTCCGGGTCCCTCCCACTCCACCTGTTGTGTTGGACAGAGGATCGAAGTTAACTCCAGCCAACTTGTAAATTAAAACAACTCCTTGCCTTTGCATTGAATGTGGTCTCTTGGTGGTTTGGGGGGTTCAGAGTCTGAGTACAACAATTTGAAAAGAAATTGTTGGGGCTGGGACTGTGGGTCAGTAGGTAGCATGCTTACCCGGTATGCACAAAATCGTGGGTTCGGCCCTCAGCACCACAGAAAGTAAACATACACCTGTGATTCCAGAACTTGGGAGGTAAATGCAGGAAGACTAGAAATTCAACATCAACCTTGTATGCTTAACAAATTTAAGGTCAATCTGGGGTTACAGGAGAACCTGCCCGTCCTGGTTCTATTTTTGTTACTTTGACACAAGCTAGAGTCACCTGGGAAGAGAAACTTCAATTGAGAAAAATTCTCCATCAGATTGCCTGCAGGCAAGTCAGTAGGGCATTGTCTTGATATAAAAAGGAATGTGGGAGGATGCAGCTCACTTTGGGTGGTACCAGTGTTGTACTTAAAAAGCAGTGGGACAGAGATAGATGCTCTGTGACAGAGCTCGTGTGGAGGGATTTTTTATTAGGGGAAAGGGAATAGGAAAAAGGGGAGGGGAGGGGAGGGGAGGGAGGAGACGGGCTTCTGGGGACAGAAGCATCAGAAAGGGGGGGGGCAGAAAGGCAGGCAGAGAAGCAGAGAAGGGGAGGGAGGTGGGCAGGGCCCTTTTAAAAGGGAACGTAGTGAATGTGCACAGGTGGTGCTCTTAGTGGCTGCAGCTGAGGGCATATCCTGTCAGAACCTCAAGGACAGGACAGTACAGGTGCCTGAATACTAACAACCAGCCCTGTGTGGTATCAGAAAGCAGGCTGAGCAAGTCATGAGAACAAGCCAGGGAACAGCACCCCTCCACAGCCCCTGCTTCAGCTCTAGCGTCCAGGTTCCTGCCTTGCTTGAGTTTCTGCATTGGCTTCTACCAATGATGGACTGTGACATAAACATTTATGTCTTTATCACAGTGATAGAAAATGTCTTTAAAGGAGGAAATGCTCAAACTGAATACTAGCCATTAATGGTGGGCATACTTGTCATGCCAGCATTACGGAGGAACTGTGAGATTATCCAGAGTTCAAGACCAGCAAGACCCTGTACCCTGTACACAAACAAAACCCTAAACAATGGGTTTTTCATTCGAGTCCTCCATAACCTTGCTGAAGATACAAAGGGGGACAGACCCATGTGCCCACATAGCCATGCATGAAGGTTTAAACACCACCTTGAGAAGTCAGTACACTTCTGAGCCTTCATTACCAGACTCCCAGCTATACCCACCTAAAGCATCCTTTAGTTCTTCCGCAGTCTTCCACTTTGATTTTTGCAAATGGGTCCACGGGAGGAGCAGTGGGGAAAGGGTAGCCTGGACAGTGAAAATAAGTAGTGGTTATAAAAATCCAGTAACAATCTTTACAATGAGAATTCTTTTTTAAAAAAAAAAAAAAAGTGCAATGACTGTTGTCTATCATCATTGTTAGTGATGTTTAGGGACTTAACAAAGACCTTCAGTGAAGTCAGAATATCCCCTTCCTGAGGGAGCCACACCTTTGTGCTTCAACTTAGGTGGGATCTGGGAATGAGTGTGCTCTTACTTCATTTTCAAGCAAGCAACCAGGGACTTTAAGTGGGGACCTTGTTCTTCATAACCCTAGGAGTTAGAAGGTCTCAACTCTAATACAGTGCCCACACTGTGGAAGAAAGACAGTTGACAAAGGCCCAGCTTTTAACTTGGCACTAGGATGATTGGACTCATATACAGAATGGATGTTTCCATTTTATCTCTCTGAACTGCCCACTCACCCATATGCTAAGTCCTCCCCATACACAGTTTCTAGCATTGCCCATCTGAGATTACTTACACCATAATGCATTTAGGCAACACTAGAGAGTAAGGCCTTGGCGACCTCCAGCTTACAGGGGAAATCATTTTCACCCAGGCTGTTACATGCAAGCAGGAGCCATCTGTGCCTGTGTTCTCTGACCAGCACGTCATTTGTCACTGGATACTGAGTAAATGACAGTCAATGATGAGATGCAAGCTTCCACAGATATGCCAAGGCAATGTAAGCCATGTCTTTTTTGTTTGTAGTGCTTTTGTCTGGTGAAGTCTTCTTTAGTTATATTAGCTTTATACTTTTCACAAACATTCCAGGCTATGCTTTGCTTGCACAAGTGTGTCTTTAATTCCAGAGTTTGCACACTGGATCAAACAACAGCCCTCTTTTATCACCCCTAAGTAACTGGGTCAAACCCTTCTTGTTTTATCCTATTTTGTGCTAAAGCCTACGTTATTTTCACTACTACTGACCACATCCTGTCTTGGACAGGGTTATTTTCTTTGTATTTAGTGAGCAGTTTATCAATGCTACAGAGCATATTAGTATCTTCACTTATGCCCTTACTATTATTTGTCATGAAATTCCAAGGCTATTTTTCCTCCAGCATATTCATGCAGGAGTGCAATGATTATTCCCTTATATGTTATTCGATTCTAGAGGTGAAAATCTCTTCAATGTTACTTCTCACTGTGTATTCGCATGTGTGTATAAATGAGTGTGTGTGTGTGTGTGTGTGTGTGTGTGTGTGTGTGTGTGTTTAGAATTAAATACAGGACTTCACAAAAGCTTGGAAAAACTCTATCACTGAGCACCACCCCCAGACTTCCTTTTCCATTTTCAGTCACAGAACCCTTAGTCATTCCCAGCACCAGGAGTAGTATTGGCCATAATAGATTTCCAGTTCAATAGATATCAGTTGTCATTTATCATCTCTGGGTCATTATGGCTACTGGAAATGTTATAAACTTAACTGAAAACTAATAACCCTTGGGTAGCATTATTTGTTTGTTGTTTGTTTTTAAGGAAAATGGGTTTCTAGACAGCCAATAAAAGCAAGTTTTAGAACAGAGCTTATGCAAATGTTCTGAACTAGTTCATTAGGCTGGCAAATGCCTTCACTAACATTCACTTTCTATCATTTTGGATGTTTTTAAATAAAGCCAAATAAGAACTTGTGTTCTGAGAGCTGTGCTTACACATCCAGTTAACACTTGAGACCACCCCCCTCCAGTTTTGTGGATTGAATTAACTGCTTTCATATACATTTCACCACTGGATTATACCACCAGACCTAGCTACCTTAATTTATTCCTTTATTTTGTTGCTTTGTAAGCTATTCAAAAAATCAAGACAATCTGGGCTTTGTCCCTGGTTCCTGGAAAAGACACCCTAGCAGTTCTCAGCCTGCAGGTCACAACCCCTTTGGGGTCAAATGACCCTTTCACAGAGGTCACCTAAGACCATTAGAAAACACAGATATTTACATTGCAATTCATAACAGTAGCAAAATTATAATTATGAAGTATCAGTAAAAATAATTTTATGGTTGAGGGTCCCCACAACATGAGGAAGTGAATTAAGGGTTCCCAGCATTAGGAAGGTTGAGAACCACTGCTCTAGAATCTTAGCCTGTGTCTTCAGTGTGTCTTTACTCATTAGGAGCCCCTTAGAGAACACCTGAGTTTGTGCTTAAGAGATAAGATGCATATAAATACACTGTCCTCCCAAGTTGAGACAGTAAATTGTCTCCTGGTGTGGCTTGAATTTGAATGTCCCCCCAGGCTCTGTTTGTTGCTGTTGGTGAACACTTGGTCCCTGCACTGGTTCTGGAGGCTGTGGAAACTTTAAGGAAGTGAAGCCTCGAGAGCAGAAGGAGGTCACCAGGAACCAGCCTATGAAAAATCCTCCCTCCTCTACTTCTGGGTTCACTGGGATATGAACAGACTCTGTGGCTCTTATTGCCATGAGTTTGGCTGCCCCACCAGGTCAACTCCCCCTTGACAGGTTGAAGGCATAAAATTAATAAATCTTCCCACCCTTAAGCCATTTTCTGGTAGATACAGTGGTCACAGAAAAGTAAATGACAAACTTCTCTATGCTTGCCTTCTCCAATTGGGAAAACATAAACGTCTTTGCACACATTTCCTGTGGGTTTTTATCTAGGACATTTTTATTGTATAACCCAGGAGAAGTGCGGCCAGTCGTCCTCTCTAATTGTGCAAAGTTTGAGCAGATTACTATTCTGAACAATGTTGGCTTGCAATCCCCTGGGCACCACATGATTGACTGCCCCAGTTTCTCCACATCCCAGCTCGACATGATATCATTATTATTTTAATTTGCATTTCCCTAAGCACTGATAGACACAAATGTCTCTTTATATCTGTAGGAAGCACTTCGGTTCCTGCTTCTGTGATGTCTATTTCTGTAACCTTTGTTTTATTATTTGGAATTCAAACTTTGTCATAGAAGGTTGTATATATTTCATAAAATCCTTGGTTTCAGATGTTGCTATTTTTTCTTACTATCTTCCTACCCATTTTGTTTTTCTATTTATTTGGGTTTTATTTTTTTATGTACAAATGTTATTATATTACATAAATTGTAGATAACTCATTATCATTATGATAGTATTTAAACAAGATGTTCTTTTTTTTTATATACCCAAATATTTAAGTTTGGTGAAGTTAACTTATTTCTCTTCTTTTGGTTTTTGCTTCTCTCTCTCTTCAAGACAGGGTTCCTCTGTGTAGTCCTGGTTGTCCTGGAACTCATTCTGTAGACCAGGGTCACCGAGATCTGCCTGCTTCTGCCTCCCAAGTGCTGAGCTCAACGGTGTGTGTCACCCCTGTGCTTTTCAGGGTCTTAAGGGATGGTTTCCTACCCCATCCGCATGAGACATTTCTCTCTTTTTTATTTACAAATGTTGCAGTACTGTATCAATAGCACAGCCAGAGTTTTGACCCACTGAGAATTTACTCAACATCTAATGCGAGGTAAGAAATCAATTGTATTTTCCTACTTATATTGATTTGTTTGGGTTTCTTTTTGCTTCATTTTGTAAGACAGTCTCACTAGTTGTGTCCTCAGCCGACCTGAAACTCCCTACAGACCCACCTGGCTTGGAACTCAGAGAAGAGACCCACCTGCTTCTCCCATCAAAGTGCTGAGATCAAAGGCATGTGCCATCATGTCCAGCTCTATTTAAGTTGAATCTTTTTTTTTTTTTTTTCAGAAATAATTTGTGAAGCAACTCATGCTTTCTCTAGTAATTTATGGTAACTCTGTTTAGCTGGGAACCCCACTTCGACCTCACTCTCCCCCATTCCAAATCGGCCCCTTCTCAGAAAGCCCATCAAGAGACAGCGAGCCTACAGTGTATCTAAGACCTGGTCCCTAGACCTGCCACGTGATTTCTCTCCCGCCTTTCTCAAGTCACCCGGAAGTTGCTTTGCTCTGTTTATTCAACCTGGCCTTATTAATTTGGCTTATTGCATCAGTGGACATTCGAAATACTTATCAAACTCCTCTCCAAGTCATCAGTTGTTTTATGAAACTGTGTCTATTCTAGATTTTCTATTTTTTTTTTTTTTGTTTGTAAGCTAGGATGATGTTATTTTAATTATTTCACTTTGTAATGTAACTTACTTAGCAAGGAAAAAGCATCTCATCAATTCATTAGACTTGAACCTTCCATACAATGTATAGAAGTCATGTGTGAAGTCTCTTCCAGAATTATACCAGACTTCTGTATGGAATTGTCTTAAATTTGAGATAAATTGTGAGTGGGTGGAGAACTGGTATATTCATGATATCAGGTTATTCTTTTCAAGATCATGGTTTACCTTCTTTATATTCCTTAATAGTTTCTTTATATTCACATTCTTTATATTCCTTAATAGCTTAAAGTTTTCTCTATATAGATAGAATCAGACATTGGAGAGCTCTGTTGCTACTTTGAGCTGTTATCTTGTTTTCTTCTACATTCTCTGGCTCACTGCTGCTGGTGAGGAAGGGGTTTGGGGTTCTTAAGCTTTTTTCATATTCTAAAAGCTTTCCTAAAAAGTCCAGCTATGTAACAAAATGATAAAGGCCAGCTAATGGATCATCCTCTGTATCTGAAATGTCTACAATAGACAAATACTGAGACAGAGGCTTTGTGGTTGCTAAGAGACAAGGAAAAACATGAAACATCTGTATGAGGTTGGCTCTAGGGAAACATGTTTCTCCCCCTCTGCCCCCCAGGGTTATCAAAGTATCCTAAATATGACTGTGGTAATAGCTGCATAAGCTCTATGGACACACTTTAGAACTATGTCATAGCATGCCTTAAATAGGTGCATGAACACACACATGCCACCATGCATCTGTGGAGATCAGCAGAAAACTTCTGGTAGTCAGTTCTTAGGATCCAGCTTGGGATGTCAGGCTCAGTGGCAGGTACCTTTACCTGGTGAGACAGCTCACCAGCCCTTATGCCAATATATATTCATGCACATGATCAAACTTCACCTGTAATATCTCT